ACATGCAAGGGATTTATTTTTTGTCCGTTTCATATTTTCAGAGGGGTGATCTGGTAAAATGTAATAAGAGCTGTAAAAATGACCGCACATGTTCCTTGGGATAAGGAAATATTTTTAGAAATTATACAAAGAGCTTTCTAGCAGCATTGTTTATAGTTACGGAAGACTAGAAGCAATCCAAATGGTCAAGTAAGCTATAGATACCAATTTATCTAATACCAGGTAACCTTTAAAATAATAAGTAGATACATGAAAGAGAGGTATTTATAAGCAAAAAGATAAACACAGTGTCATATTCATTGATTACAACCCTATGAATCTATGTATTAGTAAGGATTGGAAGAAGTCATCAAAAACTAACAGTTGCTATGCCGAGGGGAGGAAGTTCTGATTCTCTTCCTATAATATTATTTATTCAATAAAAAGAATTATTTTAAAGATACGCTTGGGGATTGAAAGCATCGAGGTTAGAATAGGGTCAAAACAAAAAAAAGAAAGGAAGGAAAAAAAGTGATGCTATCATTTTACATTTAGTCACCACAAAAAAAAAAAAATCTGTGGCATCTTGCCCAGTTGATTGATTAGAATCAGTTCATAGAAAAGTCATTTGACCTTAAATGACTACACAGTTAGTAAAAACCACACTTACCAGTTTTTAAAAAACATGTTGCCAATTTGGAAGTCACTAGTAAAGATAAAGATTTTGGGGCAAAAGTTTGGATATTACCCACAAATACAACTTTTCAATACTATTTGAAATTCTTTTACATATTTACTAGTAGTTCTTAAAAATTCCAAGTACTGATTGCTAATTTTCTGTTCTCCTAAAATAATGTGGGTTTTTTAAAATGCCATAATAGTTCATATTGACTTGGTCTCTAGAGCTGAGGCTTAAAGTTTTGCTTTATCTTTTTTTTTTCAGGGAGTCTGCCATAGCTTTTTCTATTACTTGAGGCTCCCAGCCTCAGGGAATAGTACCTGCTTATTCATTCAGTTTTTTTTTTTTTTTTTCGACAAACAGTACCTACAATAATAGGCTAGCCCTTGAGGACAAAAAGGTTAATTAAATAAAATCTTTCTGCTCAAGTAGCTCACAGTCTAGTGAAAAGGTCCTGAGTGCAAGACATTTACAGGATGCAACATCTTTTTAATAATGAAAGTAAAAACCATTAACTTTTCTCAACTTGCAATGCTTTAAAAAAAAGATTTTATTTATTTATTTGAGACAGAGAGTGAGAGAGAGAGTACAAGCAGGGTTGGGAGGCCACGGAGGGGTGGGGAAGCAGACTCCCTGCTGAGCATGGAGTCTGATGAGGGTCTCGATTTGAGGACCCTCAGATCATGACCTGAGCCAAAGGCAAACGCTTAACAGACTGAGTCACCCAGCAACCTTGCAATGTTATTTTTTTTAAAGATGTTATTTATTTATTTGACAGATATCACAAGTAGGGAGAGAGGCAGGCAGAGAGAGAGGAGGAAGCAGGCTCCCTGCTGAGCAGAGAGCCCGATGCGGGGCTCGATCCCAGGACCCTGAGATCATGACCTGAGCCGAAGGCAGAGGCTTTAACCCACTGAGCCACCCAGGTGCCCTTACAATGTTATTTTTAACAAACTTTAATTTTAAATAGTTTTAGAGTTGCATAAGTTGCAACAATTTTATAGAGAGTTCCTATATATCCTGCACCCAGTTTCCTATAGTACATTTGACACAACCGAGGAACCAACAGTGGCACATTACTAGACTCCATTGCTTTTTTTGGAATTTCCTTAGTTTTATCTACTGTCCTTTTTCTGTCCCTGGATTTCACCCATGATACCACATCACATTTAGTCACTATGCTTGGACTTCCTGCACGGTGATAGTTTCTTAGACATTGCTTCTTTTTGATGACCTTGACAGTTTTAAGGAGTGTTGACCAGGTATTTCTCCCTCAATTTGGATGTATATGATGTTTTTCTCCTGGTTAGATAGAGGTTATCGGGTTTGCCGAGGAAGATCACAGATAAAATGCTATTCTCATTACATCATGTTAAGAGTAGTTGCGATTAATGTAACTTAATTGATGCTAAATTGGTCACCTGGTTGAGATTTGCTAGGTTTCTCCATTGCAAAGTTCGTCTTCTTATAATCTCCTTCCCATACTATATTCTTTACTTTTTATACAAGAGTTTACTTATTTATTTGAGAGTGAGAGAGAGAGCATGAGCAGGCAAAGGGGCAAAGGGGCAGAGGGAGAGGGACAAGTAGATTCCCCTCTGAGCAGGAGGCCCACTCGGGGCTTGACCCCTGGACCATGACCAGAGCGAACGTAGACGCTTAGCTGACTGAGCCAGTCAGGTGCCCACCACACCATATTCTTTAAAATGAAGTCGCTGTGTATCCCACGCTTCAGGGGGATGACGCCGCACTTCAGAGGGTGGAATAGCAACAAACGTTACTTGAAGTTCTCCTTCTGCACAGGAGATTAAAATAATTAACTTTTGTATGGAGTTTTACATTAATAAAGCTCTTTTAAATACATTATTTTATGGTCTTTGCTATGAAAGAGTTTGAAGTCAGGTTTGGGAGATCAGTCCCACAGAGGAAAAGTTAATGAATTAGGACAACATTTTAAGAAATCTAATTTTGTACACTCATGCTCATAGCAGCATTATTCACAATAGCCGAAAGATGCAAGCAACTCAAATGTCCACTGACAGGTGAATGAAGAAGCAAAATGTGGTATATGATACGATGGAATATTGTTCTGCCTTAAAAAGGAAAAGAAAGAAAGTTCTGTCCAATGCTACAATGTGGATGAATCTTGAAGATCTTTTCAGTGAAATAAGTCAGTCACAAAAAGACAAGTGCCATATGATTCCACTTATATGAGTTACCTAGAAGAGTCACATTCATAGAGACACAAAGTAGAAGCATGATTATCAGGGGCTGGGGAGAGGGGAAATAGCTGTTGTTTAATGGATGTGGAGTTTCAGTTTTGCAAGATGGAGTGTACAACATTGTGAGTGTACACTTTAAGTGTACATTTTAAGTATACTTAAAAATGGCTGAGATATTATATTTTATGGTATGTGTATTTTACCATAATAAAATATTACTCAAAATATTATTTTGAATAGAAGGTTTTTTTTTTTAAATAACTAGCCCTCCCACTTGACCACATTTATACTGTAAATCAGGGGCTATACAGTGGTACCCTATATCATTTTTTTTAAAATATGAATTGCCAGCATTTAAAAATCAGGCAGTTATACATAATAAGCAAGCTTTTGAATTTTTTTAAAAATGGGATGATCTAGCAACAGAAGTCCAAGGGTGTCACATGGCAACAATCAGCTGAAGCTAAGTAGCAGCCCAAGACTTTAGACAGGTCATTCAATGCTGCAGTTTACTTAGTCCCACCACCTTTGCTATGTTACACCTTGTACATTCCATTGATCTGCACAGCCAGTGAGCACCTTGGGTGGGGTGAAGCTTGCTTCCAACTACAGGGAGAGCTAGTCAGTATAATGCATATCCCAACCACTGTTCAAGGGTTAACATGAGGTCCTTTGTCACAGGAAGCTGAATTCTAGGACTTCTGATTGAGCAAACAGAAAAGCACAATTTGCTTTCTCCTGCCACCCAGGAACAGGACACATAAAGATCCAGGAGATCTGATATCATCTTGGGACCACAGTGGGAGACCTGTTCAACAAGAAAGCCAAGGAAGAATCACCAAGACAAGCAAGATATAAAGGAGCCCCTACCCTGGATCATTTGGATCTAATAATTCCTTGTTTGGCTTCAACCAGCTGGGGTTGGGTTTTTGGTCACTGGTAACAGGAAGGATCCTAACATAGTTGCCAGTGAACTTGACCCTGCTAAACTCTGATGGTCTCTGCTCTAACCACCATCTTTCTGCAAGTATTTTAAATTCCTTTTAAGGAATGCTGGTGTGGCTCAGTCAGTCGAGCCACAGCCTTTGACTCAGGTCATGATCCTAGGGTTGTGGGATAAAGTCCCACATTGGGCTTCTTGCTCAACGGGGAGCCTGTTTCTCTCTCTGCCTCTGCCTGCCACTCTGTCTGCTTGTGCTCTTTCTCTCTGACAAATAAATACACAAATAAATAAAATCTTAAAAAAAAAATTCCTTTTAAGACAGATTGGTCTAGGGGTGCCTGGGTGGCTTGGTTAAGCGACTGCCTTTGGCTCAGGCCATGATCCTGGAGTCCTAGGATCGAATTGCACATTGGGCTCCCTGCTAAGCATGGAGTCTTCATCTCCATCTGACAACCCCCTTCTCATGCTCATTCTCTTTCTCTCAAATAAATAAATAAAATCTTAAAAACAAACAAACAAACAAACAAACAGGGGTGCCTGGGTGGCTCAGTGGGTTAAAGCCTCTGCCTTCAGCTCAGGTCATGATCCCAGTGTCCTGAGATTGAGTCCTGCATCGGTCTCTCTGCTCAGCAGGGAGCCTGCTTCCTCCTCTTTCTCTCTCTCTGCCTGCCTCTCTGCCTACTTGTGATCGCTGTCTGTCAAATAAATAAATAAAATCTTTAAAAAAAACCAGACAGATTGGTCTAGTAATAATAGTGATAGAATTTAGTTAACCTGAAAGAGACTTTCCCAATATTTATACATTCTGGTTTAAAATCTAATGGTGTGCATTATACCTCTCCTTTTTATACACATCTTTAAAGAGGAAATTCAATCTTCCAATTTTAAGAAATGCAAATGTGAGGCAATAATTCATCAACCCAAAGATTTTCTTTGTAATAGAAAATGTTTTTAAAGGGGGAGAAGTAGGGATTTTTATAATTATTAAAAGATAAAAGCAAAATTATTTTTTAAGCTATAAGGCATTGGAAACATTTCGTATTACGATATGCCATTATTAAGCATCCTCTATCTGATTGTTAGAAATTATTCATTTCCTCAAAGATAGAGAATAAATTGGTTGGGGATGCAATCTTGTAGTATGCACTTTCTTTGCCCAAGGCAAACACTGAGCATTTGAGAGCTATGAGACTGCTTCTGCATTTGAGTTTGCTAGCTCTTGGGGCTGCCTATGTTTCTGTCACTGCTGTAGAAAGTCCCATGAACAGACTGGTGGCAGAGACCTTGACACTGCTCTCCACTCATCGAACTCTGCTGATAGGTGACGGGGTAATTTTCTTTTTGATTCCTGCAGTCTTTAAAAAACATGGGTAATCATTGGCAGTGGCTAATTTTTAAAGATCTGTTACTAATAATGAAATTATGAGTGTTAGTAATATATAATGCATAGTCATGTTACTAGGAAACGTTATATTAAAAGTTATGAATCTTAAAATACGTTAAAAATGAATGTATTCTTTTCCTTTTCAGAACCTGATGATTCCTACTCCTGAAAATAAAAATGTAAGTTAAACTGTTATTTGACAAAATGATTGCATGAATCAGTTTTGTATTTTAAGCTACAAAGCATTAGTTAACATTGGGATGATTTAATTTGACCTATTTTGTTTTTATGTGTGCGGATGTGACTTATGTGCTTTTGAATATTAGGAATGGTGTTAAGAATGACTCTACCATATTAAGTAGAATCCATTAGGCAAGTGCATCAGGCCCTTTTCTGATGTTGTCAGTTCTACATCTCAAAGAGCCTCATGTCAAGCGTTCTTTCCAGAAAAATTCCACATTGGGTGAGAGGTGCCTCCTAGTCTCCATTCACCTCTATCTATGGCTTTCCTCACTTTGAAGTCTTTCTGTAAGTACCAGCAATTTAGGATTATATTTTTAGAATTATGGTCAGTAGACATTAAAATATACAGTGAAGTCTCATATTAATAGTCATTTCTTAAATAATTTTAACTTTAATGGAAATATATACCTTTGGAGTATGTCATGGTCATTTTAAAATGTAAAAGATATGATATCATTAGTCTAAATAGAATAAAATTACCACTTAGAACTGTCAGAGGAAACTCTGATAGGAGGTAAATCAGTAATGTAGTTGCATTATACTTCTTAAACACTTTATTTCTCATTAAGCATTTAATTTATATCATTTGTCAAACTCTTCAATAATTATATAAATGTCATTTACTTACTGAAATTATAGCTCAAGGTGCCTGGGTGGCTCAGTTGTTTAATCAGCTGCCTTCGGCTCAGGACATGATCTCAAGGTCCTGGGATCAAGCCCCACATCGTGGTCCCTGATCAGGAAGGAGTCTGCTTCTCCCTCTCTCTCAACCCCCACCCCACTTGTGCTCTTTCTCTGTCTCTCAAATAAATAAATAAATATTTTTTTTTAAAAAAGGAAGAAATTATAGGTCAGTATGAGGTGGTTTCCCACCTGGAAAAGAAACAAGGAAAATACTCTTGGGAGAAAGGAACTTGTGTAAACTCCACAAAACAAAGTCCAACTTTTTGCACCAAATTTTTATAGCTTGTTTTATTTATATTTTTAAAAATTTTCTTCATTTAGCACCAACTGTGCATCGAAGAAGTCTTTCAGGGTATAGACATATTAAAGAACCAAACTGCACAAGCAGCGGCTGTGGATAAACTATTCCAAAATTTGTCTTTCATAAAAGCACATATAGACAGCCAAAAAGTAAGTTAAAGATATTTGGTGGAAACTTAAGTATATTTTTCTAGCTGGGGCTGTTTTGACAAGAACTGACAGTTTTCCTACAATACCTCTTGTCTGCTCTTTTCACAGAAAAAATGTGGAGGAGAAAGATGGAGAGTAAAAAAGTTCCTAGACTACCTGCAAGTGTTTCTTGGTGTCATAAACACTGAGTGGACAACAGAAAGTTGAGACAAAACTGACTTATTTTAGTGAAAGATTTTGGAGGAGAAGAAAAATGTTTTCTTTTGGAATGAGAATGAGGGCCAAGCAACTGTGGGGGGGCGCTTAATGATCGGTCATAGACTTAAACTTCAGAGGCAAAGTAGATATTTCAGGCAACCTACTACTTCACCTCCTCACAAAGCAGAAGGCATAAAAATAAAATGTTAGAGACATATTTCAGATATCCGATCATGGAAGTATTTTCCTCCAGTTTGCTCCAGGCAAAATAAATGTGTACTTTAACCTTATTTAACACAACATTCTGTAAAATGTCTGTTAACTTAATATTTATTTATGAAACAATTAAGAATTTGATAAATTAATATTTATATCAGATCATGTTATGTTCCAATAAAACAAAAATAAACAACTCTGATTCAGTTTGTTGCTGGTCTCTGTCCTACTCTTTTTTTTTTTTCAAGATTTATGTATGTATTTGAGACAGAGAGTGAGCTGGGGAAGGACAGGGAGACAGAACATCCAAGTAGACTCCAGCTGAGCCCAGAGCCCGACACAGGGCTTGATCTCACTACCCACAAGATCAGGACATGGGCCGAAACCAAGAGTCTAGCACTTAACTAACTGAGCCACCCAGCCATCTCTGTCTTACTCTTGAAGTGAGCACAGTCTGGGTGAAAACACACTGAGTTTGGAGGGAGAGTCTTCATCTGTGCTGGCTGAGCATTCCTGTCTCCCTGGTGACAGAGGTAGCAGGGTTGCTAGGCAAACCACAGGCGGAAGTGATCCAGTAGGCCTTAGTGCAGATGTGGGCAACAGGGGCTGAGCATGGTTTCCTCGACACAGTGTACCAGAACCTGGAAGGATGCGTGTTAAATGGTAGGTGACGAATGAATGAATGAATGAATGAAACTTCCAGGACTGGCTGGAGAATTAAAATGACTTTCAAGGATCTTCCTGGGAGGAGGAGAGTGTAAAAGTCTGTAACTAGGTCTCTTCCTGGCCAGTGAGAAGAATTTGGCAGACCAATCCCACTGCTGGTTCAGGGAGGGAGGCAGGAACCCTCTTGGTGGAGCCCAGAGCACGATGGCCTGGGAGAGTTCTTCCTCATCTCACTGAAAAGCTGGTAGGCAGTTATATTCAGAAGACTAGGTTCTAGAGGGTTCCATCATCCTGTATTCCCAGTCGTAGAGCAGCAGCAGTTCAGTCTGCCTGCCTATGACAATCAGTACCATAAGCGAAGGTTCTTCTGCTTGAGGAAATTTCTCAAGAATCCAGTAAGTATGTTCTTTAAAATAGATTTTTAAACTGAGATAAGACTGGAGGAGAGATCCAATAAGAATATTCAACTATGCCATTGACTCCTTCATTCATTTACTGATCACAGGGTCTACACTGCGTGCTGGAATACAGCTGCAGGTGTAGGCTGGAGGTTCTTACCGATGGGTGCCATTACCCCATGCATTATCTGCATGGATTGTATGGGTCACACCTGGTTGTGTTAAACAACCAGTCTGCTGTGTCTGGGCACAGGACAGGAGGCAGAGTAGTCAGACATAGAGTCTCAGGTCAGAGAATACAAGACCTTCTGTGAAAGAAGACAAGTTTTCCTTCTAGCACAAACCAGGCATGGTGGTTCACGCTCTGTCATGGCCCAAACCCCCAACTGTGCGTCCACCAAGCCCTGAGAGTTGGAGCCGAGCCGAGGAAGATGGGTCGGCACAGTACTATGCTGACTGCTCTAGAAACTGACAGGAAACAGGAAACTCGATTTGTAAAGAGACTGAATGTCAACTTAATTCCATTCAGCAAATATTTATTGAGCTCCCAACTGGTCCAGGACTGTTTTAGGAACTAGGGTCTATCATGAATAAAGCAGACAACATTCCCTGCCCTTGTAGACTTATATTCTCTCTCAAAAAAGGTTATTTTTCCACTTCTTTATGAAAGTCCAGTACGGTGCAGGTGGATTTAAGACTGGAATAGCCTGTCTGAAATCCCACTCATAAACTCTTACCAATCTACCAGGGCTCAGAGAAGCTAAAAGCAATCTGCACTGTATACAATCAACCCAAATGCGACTTCTTAGATGTACCAAGGGTTTTAAAGGCAGAAACTATGATCCTCAAACTGATTCCACTTTCCCTGTAGAGGGAAAAACATCCAGATGGCCTCTGGCAGACACACCCAATGCACCCTCACCCAAACCTGCTGATCGTGGGGGGTTCCAGAACCCAGGGTATCGGGGGTGAGGAATGCAGCCCCCAGGTAATAGGACTACCTTCCTAAGCCTTATTTTTCCTCTCAAAAGCTTATCCCAACAACAGGGCAGCCACTCACTCTATCTTGGGGATGTCACTGTGACCCCAGGGAGAGGAGCCAGTGTGAGTGAATAGGCTGAGTTTTGGAGGGACACAGAGGACCCTTCCCAGAGAACATCTCAAAATAATGGGTCTAAGGGGCGCCTGGGTGGCTCAGTGGGTTAAAGCCTCTGCCTTCGGCTCAGGTCATGATCCCGGGTTCCTGGGATCGGGCCCTGCATTGGGCTCTCTGCTCAGTGGAGAGCCTGCTTCTCCTTCTCCCTCTTCTGCTCCCCGTGCTTGTGCTCTCTCTGCCAAATAAATAAATAAATAAATAAATAAATACAATCTTTTAAAAATTAAAAAAATTTTTTAAAAAAACCACCCCCCCCAAAAAATCCAAGAATATATATTTCTGAGCCCCACACTGGATCTATGTCTGGCTCTGTGCTCAGTGTGGAATCTGCTGGAGATTCTCTCCCTCCCCCTCTGTTCTTCCCCCACTCTACCTCTGTCACACCCATGCACCTGCACACTCTCTCTCATAAATAAATAAATAAATAAGTAAATAAATAAAATGTGTTTTTTTGTTTTTTGTTTTTTTTAAAAGAGAAAAGTCTGAGTATGTCCTTTACCAGTGCATGGTTATTCTGATGAGTGGTCTAGGGCCCTTTGGTAAAGGATTGAAGAAAGAAAGCTTACTCCATGAAGTAGGATTCTAGGGTCCCTCCCATTTAATGAAGGCTACTGGAATCTGGGAAATGGATGAAAGGTCTGATTTTCCATTGTGATGGCTCTTGCACACCTCAACCATAAGCTTTTGATTATATCTAACTACCCATACACTGAATAGCATGTTGATCAATTATCCACCTCTCTTGCCTCTTGATATGCTTTACTATATTAGCACCACTATAAATCCAAGGGTCAAAGGGACTTTATATAGCCTGACTGCTCATTGTCGTAATTATGACCACTTTGGCCTCTGCCTTCCTAGGAATTCCATCTTGCCAACTGATTATCAGGGAGCCCATGTCAATGGCAGCATCCCCCACCTTCAACCCAGCTTATGGAGAACTTCTACTACCAACCTTTGCAATGATGCCTGTTTCTCCTCACTAAGGCATCTTGTGCTATGGTAGCGAAAGGAGTGTTCTCTGTGACCTACAGAGAACATGGCCAGAGTGGGTACTCAGACCATATATAATACATCTATTTAGTATTCTTACTTCCTGAGCAATCTGCCCTCATCTTCAACGCAATGGAAAGGAAGTTCTGGCATCTCCATTTCATATTCTGTAGGCTTCTAAGAGACATTCCAGGAAACTGTTAGGATAAGCTCTGGGTGTTCTTGACAAAACATTAAATCCTGCATCATAGTGAGTAGCCCCCCATCAATGAATTCAACTCTATCTACTCAACTCTTTATTCCTCTGGACTAACAGGATCCACTTGGCATTGGATTCTGACAGTACATATCTGTAAGCTCCCACACACCTGAATGTCAGCTGGGAAGTTAATGCCTCTCACCTTCAAACACACCTTCTATACTCTAGTAGAACTGGGACCCTGTGAACAAGGTTCTCTTTTGTCAGCTGATTCTCTGTTAGGATTGTCAGTAGGGGGCGCTAGACTAGGAGGCTGGAGGAAGAAGGGACTTGCTCATTCCTGTTTGCCTACTATTCCTTGTTTTTGCCTCTGATTCCTGTCATTTACATTCCTAATCCTAATCTTAGTGCTGCCCTGGCAGCAGCAGTTCACTCCAGTAGGAGCAATCGGTTACAGTTTGTAGTTTTGCCAACATTCATTCAAAAACCTTAGAGTATTTCATCCCCCCTCCAAGACCCCAGCACCACTCAACCAGCACTTTCCCCCCAGAGATCTGGATCCTATTACCATCTGCCCCTTTTCTGAGCTCAGAAACACCACCAGCTGCCGAGCTTTGATCTTCAGGTCTGGGAGTTCCTTCCCCTAAGGTTGTATGTTTTAATAATTCTAACCTCTTCCCTTTGATCTCCAGGAATAGGGGCAATAGTGGCTTCCCACAAATCACCACCTTCATAATACCTTAATGCTCCCTTTCTGCCTCTCCAGTCATCCAATACTTGCTTAACAATTATTTATATTCAATTCTCTCTATTGAAATAGCTGGTATAGCTTCTGTCTTCTGATTGGGCCCTAACTGATACAAACATTCTGAGCTCTAAATCTGATTGCTGACCTGCAGATAGTGGGGAGTGTGAAGAGGAGAAAAAATATCATCTTGGGAGGCACCTGTATCAAGAGAAATAATTTTTCTCTCTTTAAGCAAGGAGGAAATAGGCCACTTTGGCAAGGGGGAAAGGGCTGCTACTTCCAGTTAAGGAGAACTCAGAAGAATTTGGGGTTTCAAGAGTCTCAGGTTTTCTCACCCATGTGTTACTTTCCCAAGTCTCATGATCCCACACTCTTGCTATAAGGTCCTACGCTTTGTCATAGAGGAATGCCAAAGGTGCACAACTATTCTCCTTTGAAGCTCTACCAAGACCTACAAATGACCAGACCCTGAGCATAATTCTCAGCTCAGTCTGCCCTGTGGCTGCAAGAGATAAAGTTCTCCATTTCTTAAAGTGTTATTTATTTGGTAATTCCTACACCCAATGTGGTGTAATTTCATGACTCCAAGATCGAGAGTCGCATGGTCTTCTGACTGAGCCACCCAAGTGCACAAGGGGTCTCTTTTAGAGTTGCCATGGAAGTCTGCTAGCATTCAGAGTGTACTTTAAATCGGAATTAGATTTTTCTGAGCCTATCACT